TGCACTTGTGTTAGAATTTCCAGAGCACTGAACAGAGACAACTTCAAAATGTCTATCCAGAATCCTTTTATCATCAACAGTGGTGCATTCTGGAAACCGTATTGGAATGGCTGAAGGTGTAAAATCGAATAGTGAGTGGGAATATGATAGAAGGTATAGGAAAAGAGTTATTCACAATAGCACAGCCATAGGAAAGGAACACCATGATTCCTGTAGTAATTAAGAGCCGCTAATGTTGTTAATAATGAGTTGGTAATTCTTTTAGTATTGTATCCATCAGGTTTCTTTGTACAGGAGAGGGCAACACGCAAACTGCAGTAGACATCCTGATCATGAAAATGAGGACATTAAAGCAGGACCTAAGTCTGTCTGTCCTAGTTTTGAGCAAATGGTTTCATGTTTCTAGAGCAGGGCCAGGCTTATTTGTGTGATTTTTGCTTGGGTATCACTTCCTCCAGAGTCATCATTCCTGCACACTTCGGAATTTTGTGAGGCTCTTTCATGGTCTGTTCTCTATCCTTAACCACAGCTCTGTCACAATGCATGCATTATCATAGCTCACTGTTTTGTATCCCTGCTCCAGAAGATGTTCTAAGGGAAAAAGGAAGGTACTCTCTTGATGACATTAATGCATCCTTAGATTCTGCAAATGATCCATCACATAAAAACACTTAACAAATATTTGTGGTATGAATAACTTAATTAACATATGTGTACTCAATAATGGGTACCATGCAAAATGAAAACATGTATTAGCAGTTATTATCTGAACTAGGTAAATTTTGGTCAGTTTTATTTCTATATTTTCTGAGAATATCAAACTTCCAATAAAATAGGAAAATCATACTCAGTGTTGCCAGATGGAGGACTTATCCTTGGGTACACAATGATAAGAACTTAAGCACTTTAAATAACAAGGAAGGATGGAGAAATAGATCAAGAGGCTGAGCACATGCTTTGCAGAAGGAGACCTGGTTCGAGCTCTGATGCCGTATGATCTCCTGAGAACCATCAAGAGCAACCCTGAGCACCTGGATGCAGGCAAAATATCAAAAATAATGAGTAAACTAGCATATCATTTCCAAACAGATCAGTCAAAATTGGGTCTAATGTGCAATGTGGTACGACCCAGAACATAGCAAGTTCTGAAATCATAAGGATAGAACTAAACCCCTGATATCAAGACAGAATATCAGAATTTTTAAAAATTATAAGGAAAGAATCTAGGCAGATTCTTTTGAAAACCTAAAAATAAAATCTGTGATTCTAAATGTCTTGAAAAACAGAAAGCTGAGATTGGAGTGATAGTACAGTGGGTAGGTCACTTGCTTGCATGTGGCCAACCCGGGTTCCATCCCTGGCATCCCATACAGTCCCCTGAGCACTACCAGTAGTAATTCCTGAGCGCCGAGCCAGGAGTAAACCTGGGCATCAACCGGGTGTCGTTCCCACTAACAAAACATCCTTTTTCTAACTAAAAATAGCCTCCCCCAACAAAACCATAAAGATAACTTTGTCTACTGAGTACATCTGAAGATTTTGTTTTAGGTGTCTCTTTGGTTTCTGGTACTAGATTCAAAGTATCTAAATTTTTTGTCATTATTATATTAAATTTCAAGGTCAAGTTGTACCATGCATTCATTTTAAATCATTATTCTTGAGTAGTAAGCACATTAGAATATACGTCTTAGAATTACATAAAAAATCCAAGCACTTAATTACATGAAATATGCAAGCACTTAAAATCTTTTCTGCTTCACCATATTGGTTTGCTTTTTCAATACCCAACTTAAATCATGTTTGCTCTTTATTACAACTGAATAGGCACTTTTAAATGTCATGGTATTTAAAAGGAAAATGATAGTATTGATAGTATGATCATAATAAACCATTATGTTTTACAAACTACAAGTGTTTAACTTGTTTGTTCATTTATAGGCAAGTCAAGTTTGACATGAATAAATAAATAAAATGTAAACTTCTATAATCTATTTTTATCTACAAGATTTTAGTTTTTTTTCTTTATACAATCTTGACTAGCCTTTTAGCAGCAAAAATATTTTTTATTGGCTTAAAATATTGAAAGGGAAGTCAGATTTAGAAATATATATATGAATATGCATTTAAAAAATAGTCAAGTTTTATAAAAAAATACAGTAAAAAGAAAAGTGTTTGGAGATTATTTCAATGCAGTATTAAACTTAGCTTCCCTAAGGACTTGCTCATTCTATGTAACTTTTAAGACCCAAAATTTTACAAGTCCCATCTTGTTAATAAATTGTACCTTTAACATTATAGCCTAAGGAAGATAATTTTTCTCTAAGACTTGGAATTTTCTGTTCAGTAATATGTATTTCACAATTAAGTGAATTTGCTATTAAAAAAGTGGCGGAGGGTTGGATCACACACAGTTATGCTCAGGACTTTTTCCTGTTGTTGTGTTTGAGATCACACAACACTCCTGGTTATGTTTGGGGGACCATCTCTGTGTTTGGGGATTAAACTTGTCTCAGCCACAAACAAGGCTGTATTATGCCTTTATACATTTTACCCCCTATAATATCTCCCCAGGCCAAGAAGTTGCTCCTTTTAAATTCAATATCTGATTATTGAGCATATTCAAAATTAGAAGTTTTTTTTTATTTTCTAAGAAATTTCCTTTATTTTTACTTTATCAAAGATGTTGAACTGAATTTTTATAGGTAAGTTTTTCCTATTATATAGATGTTGTAATATAACATGCAAAAAAGTAGATTTATACTTGTATAGTTTACTTTATAATCACTCAGACAATAAAAATTAAAAGATTTGAATCTTTTCTATAAAAAATATATACTTTTTACAATTTGTTGTGGATATGGGGTACTCAGCCTTTGCAATTTGTCACTATCACTGTCCTCCTGTTCATCGATTTGCTTGAGTGGGCCCAGTAACGTCTCCATCGTGAGACTTGTTGTTACTGTGTTTGGCACATTGAATACGTCATGGGTAGCTTGCCAGGCTTTGCCATGCGGGTGAGATACTCTCGGTAGCTTGCCGGGCTCTCCCAGGCACTTCGAGAGGGGCGGAGGAATCGAACCCGGCTTGGCTGGGCTGGCTGCACGCAAGGCAAATGCCCTACCACTGTGCTGTCACTCCAACCCTTGCAATTTGTAGATATCAAAATTTTTTCAAATAAGTTACTAGTGTGTCTGTCATTTTCTTTTTCTGAGATTCTCAGAAAAATTCAGGAAAAATACTTTATGTATAACTTTCAATTATGGAATGGTCTTATTTGCTTAGAAAAAATTTAAAATTCAAGCAAATTTCTTGAGAGTTATTAAAAAATTTCAGTAGAAATCATCTTTTATTCATTAATTTCGTGTTTGAGAATTAAAGCTTATATAGCTTAACATTTTTTATCACAAAATATAAGGACTAATGGGAATGCATGTGGGTCTGTGATTTGAGAGTGTGGGCCAGGACTAAGATTGTAGCTCAGTGGTATAGCACATACATCGTATATGTAAGCCTCAGGGTTTGATTCCTGGCAGTACAAAAACACCCATCAAGTATAAAAATGTTTTTCCAAGTGTCTCCATTGGGTTAGAAAGATAGTTCAGGGGTTAGGGCAAAGCATGCAAGCTTTCCAGGCTTAACCCCTCTACCACATGGCCTCCCAAGAATTTCTGGATATACCCTTGGAGGTTCCAAGAACCATAGGACTCCCAGCACATTGTCTTTAGTTCCTGACAATACACTGATGACCCCATTGTCTGAGTATTTCAAGCCCCTGTGTCTCCTGAATAGCATTTTGGGGGAGGTCTTCATTTCTCCATCCCAAAGTGTCCACATTTCTAGATTTTACAGAGTAAAAATTTTCCTTTTTCTGTAATAGTGGGTTGTAATGAAGTAAAACTAGCTATATACTTGTCAATCACTTCTATAATCCATTTTAAAAAGTGGGTGCCATTTGTTTTAAAGTTTACGCATGTGAAATTTTAATTTGGGGACCCATTTTGTGACCTTTGTATTACTATTTATTTAAAAAAACATGGATATCAGAGGTTAACCTTAATGTCAAATATAAAACAAATTTTACAGGCATTTCTCTAATTTTTTTTTGTTTTTTTCGGGCCATACCCAGCAATACTCAGGGGTTTCTTTTGGCTCTGCACTCAGAAATTATTTCTAGCAATGGTCAGGGGACCATGTGGGATACCTGAAATCTAACCCCAGTCGGCCACGTGCAAGGCAAACTTCTTACCTCCTGTACTATCTCTCCAGACCCATAGATATTTCTCACTGATTGTAAGTCTTTGAACTGAAAATCTTGAGTACATGTGCTTTAGTGTGTATATTTTTATATTAATAAAAATTTTGAGTTATGATTCGACATTCCTAGAAGCTGTATTTTTCTTTTGAAATAAAGCAGGACACAAATTTTTATTAAAAATATTGCCCGCTGTGGACTTGGAGAGATAGTACAGTGGATGGGCAGTTGCCTTGCACCTGGGTTTAGCCCCCAGAACTTCATAAGGTTTCCTGAGCATCACCAGGAGTTATTCCTGACTGCAGAGCCAGGATTAAGCCTTGAGCACAGCTTCTTGTGGCTCAGTCCTCCACCTTACCCCCCCCCCCAATATTGTCCAATCTATTCGGAGCCTTATTTCCTAAAACTTTAAGATCTCATTAAAAACTTATTATTTTTCCAACTTTATTCTCCCTAATTGGTATGAGTAAACCTATGCAAAGGCAATGTTGAAAGACCAGAAATTTTATAGTTACTTTTAAAAACTTGGAATCTTCCAGTACTAATGCGGATGATTAAAGATGAATGCCAAAAGTTAGAGCAAAGACAAATGGAATATTGTTGTTTTTATGTAAAGTTGCAGATGAAATTGACCTCGAAATCAGAATTATGTGACTTTTACTAAACTACTTTATTTTTGGACTATTTTGTTTGTTGTCACTATTTGGATTGCCATTACCTATATTGTAACAGAAAAATAAACCATTACCAAAACAATCTCAGCTTCCAAGGGTTCAGTCGCTTTTGATATTGTCACAGGGGGTGAGGTTGAAATCTGTGCTTTCCTTTTGGATTTCTGTGTCTGAATATTGGTAAAGTAGTTGACAGCTGCAAACTCAATGAGAGCTGAGAAGACGAAAGCAAAGCAAACAGCTATGAACCAATCCATGGCCGTGGCATATGACACTTTTGGCAAGGAGTGACGGGCACTGATGCTTAAAGTGGTCATAGTTAAAACAGTGGTGATGCCTAAAATGTAAAAGAATTAGAAATACAGTATTAGTGTTGACCTCCTAGAAAAGGATCAAATAAGAATATGTTGATGGAGAGTGTTAGATATTACCTGCATGTAAAATAATTCATGCTAATGCTTTATAATTGTTCTTTTTATCACAGAGGTTGCCATCTTGGTATCCTTCAACACCTAGTATTCTATATGTCAGTTGAAGTAACTCAAAACTATTTTTGAATTGACTTAATGTATGTACTACAAATTTAAGACATAAATAATTTCACTGTGAAATTATTGTTGCTTAAGTAAAAAATTCCTTGAACTTCTGAAATTTAATAGCTGATAACATCTTCCATCATGCTTAAGAAATCTCTACGGTTGACTAAACTTAAGATCAGTTTTTTTCTTTTTAATTTTCTCTCTCTCTCTCTCTCTTCCTCTCTCTCATTTTTGGTCCATATCCTGTGATATTTAGGGTCTTCTGTGGAGTGAACCTGGGTCCCCTACATGCAGGGCCTGCATTTCAACCCTGTGAACTGTATCTCTATCCTTTCTTCTCTCTAGCTTTTGTTGCTGATTTTTTTTTTTGCTTGTTTATGGATCACACTCTGTGCTACTCAGGGACTACTCCTGGATTGATGCTTGAGGATCACCTTTGACGAGTTGTATTGGAAATTGAACCCAGGCTATCACATATACACAACCAAGTTATTTACTGCTGAGCCACATACCTAGCCCTCCATCATACATTTTAGGTAATATTTATCCATGAAGAATATTTCAATATTTAACAGCAGTTTTTCCTCTTGGTTTATGATTCATATTTAAGGTAGGTTTAACACTAATTTCAATATGAATGTATAATTTGAAGAAAGTCATCTATTTGGATACAATGAATTAAAATCCAAATTCAGCTGCACTTCTGTTTTACTCAATTACCTGTAAACTAAATTTGTCATCATTAAAATTCAGAAAAACTTCTATATTTCAGTAGATCAAAGATGGTATTTTTGTTATATCTCTTTTTAAAAGTTCCTCTTTCACTTTATCAAAGCTATTAGTGAATCTTTGTGTTATAATGGAATAAATGTTTGAAATTAACCATGAGGAACTGGTGATATTTAACTGTTTTCCTACAAAATGTGCACTTACTTAACTTGAGCCTAATAAAAGCCGAGCATAATTTATGATAGTTGTTTTAATACTTTGACTTTTTGCTTTTATAGGTTTACATGTCAGTTTTTACCTTTTTGATTTCTTTTGTTACCAAAACAACAACAACAAAACCCAAATTAAAGTAAAAAGCCTCCTTTACAGGACACTGGAAAGTCAGAGGAAATAAACTGGAAGACTTGTTTAGAAAAATTATTCATAATACAGCCTTCTATGTGATGATAGTCATTGTACAAAGCTCACATAATCTGAATGAAACAGGAACATGTTGCTTAGAGAGATGAAAGACCATGCAATTCAAGAGTAAGACTTACCAAAGACGGTTCGTGCTGGAACAGACTCCTTATTAATCCAAAAAGACACCTGGGAAAGAATTACTGTCATAATGCAAGGAGTATATATCTGGATCATGAAGTAGCCCATCTTCCTTTGCAAGTGGAAATAAACCGTCATTATTACATATTCACCTATTGGAAGACACACACATAAATACATGTCATTGACAATTTACAAAAACAATTCTGCAGCAAGAAATACTGCTGATATTTAAATTAAACAGAAAAAACTCAGAAACATCTTTCAACATTTGACAAAATGTTGATGATAGACTAATCAGCTCATTTTTGGTGGAGCTCTGTGTCGTATACATATACATATACATATGACACAGAGCTCCACCAAAAAAAAGTGAGCTGATTAATCTATGTATGTGACATATACATATGCAATCAGTCCAAGGTTATGTGAATATATATATACATATATATTATATATACACATGGTTGCAAAGGTGGATTAGAAGAAAGTTATCCATAACTTCAAAATAATATATTTTACCCTCATGATAGCTAGTACAGAGGGGGGAAATAGGTATTTGGAATAATGGAATAATCTTGCAGGACTATATCCATACATTAGTCATATTCTTACCTGTGTTAGATTTGATTGTCTCACTAGATACTGTTTGTCCAAGCAGATCATACTGTAGGAGGCTTGAAGACTCTTCAGGGACTTCTACTGAGTAAAGTGGCCCTTTTTTCCATGTATATATAATTTCACTTTTGGGATACGCATCTGAATTTTATAAGCAAACAGCAATTAATCTGACCGGTTGAGTTTTTTTTTTTTCAAAGTAAATCTTTTTCTTTAAAAAGGTACACTTCCATAGGTTTCTTTATTTTTCTTTAATTTTGGTGATTTTGCTTGGAGCTATAGCACAGCAGGTAGGGCATTTGCCTTGCATGCGGCCGACTTGGGTTCAGTTCCTCCACCCCTCCTGGAGAGCTGGGAAGCTACCGAGAGTATCCCACCCACACGGCAGAGCCTGGCAAGTTCCCTGTGGTGTATTCGATATGCCAAAAACAGTAACAAGTCTCACAATGAAGATGTTACTGGTGCTGCTCGAGCAAATCGATGAACAATGGGAGGACAGGGCTACAGTGCCTTGCTTTTCAGTATATATAAAAAACCAAACATTTCCATGTTTTAAATTCATTATTTGGCTATCAGAATCTTTTTGTAACTTACAACTTCCAAACTTGAGAGGGCAAGCATGGCCATCCATAGGAAAGTTAACCAGTCTCATAGGACAGTCAGCATTGATAGTTAGCCTAGGAACATTGGAATAAAGGGTTCTCAGTTAGCATGCTGGACAGTTATTTGGAACAGGTAGTAGAATATGGTAAACCTCACCTCATGGTGTATAGAATAGTTCCATTCTGCATTATTCTGAAGAGTTTATTAGGGGTTGTCATATTGTGAGCGATTGATTTTTTGCCATTTCTGAAAAAAGTGTCAGGTGTCCAGATTTTACTGACCATCAGGTTATTCAAACTTAAAATCTTAGTTGGACCCCCAAACTTCAACCTCTCATCAGTCCAAGTCTGGCGGAAGAAAACATCCATTGTGTACTCCTAAGACAAAATATAATATTCACGCAGGCTGGAGGTATGGTTTGTTAAGAGTAAATTATTCATTTGCTTATGTTTACACTTATAAATTTAGGAGATAAAGAAATTTTTTTATTTAAAACTGACTGAGGAAGACTGATTTTAGCAAATCATTTTCCCAAATATTGTAGCATATTCTAATTATGATAACATTGTATTGTGAAACTCTCTGTTCTCTAGCTTGATTTTCCCCAACGTTCTTGTTTTATTTTCTATCAATCCTTGGTCTCTCCAACTATCTACCTGTTTATTTTCTCCTAATAATGTTCAGAAGAACATTATAGAAGTTTTCCAGTCTTTAATTTTATGCTTGCTTTTCGATCAACAGTGAGTTCAATCATTTCTCTTAGTAAAACATGTACCCTCAAAGATATCTTGAAGCAACATTCAGTAAGGATCTAGAACAATCTCTGCTATCATAGTTATTACATACTGTTCTCAGAGAACTTAAAACAGAATCATTTAAGCACAATTAAAATGATGAAGTTTTAATTTATGTCTTAGGAACTAACAAGAAATCTTAAACTATAATGGTAATTACAGATGTCACTGATAATAACAGCTTATAATAATTTCAAAACAATACTTGTAACTACTTTTTCTACTTCATATATACCTTTATGGATCTTTTACTTCAAGTGGTGGTTGTATTTTGAAAACAGAATTTGAGGGACTACAGAGATACTATCTAGCATGTTTGCCTTCTACACAGCTAGCCATGTTCAATCCTCAGTACACCATACAGTTCCTGAGCTGTCAGAAGTGGACCCTGAGCACAAAGCCTGGAGTAATGCCTGAGTAAAGTTGAGTGTGGTGCCCAAACAAACAAAATATGTACTTTGATACACAATATATCAGTGTAATAATGGCCTAAATTAAATCAGGGTCCTATTTCACATAGACATTAAATGTGCACTATAGCACTATACTCCCGTTGTTCATTGATTTGCTCAAGCGGGCATCAGTAATGTCTCACATCAAATTGTGAGACTTGTTGTTACTGTTTTTGGCATATTGAATATGTCACAGGCAGCTTGCGAGACTTTGCCGTGTGGGCGAGATACTCCCAGTAGCTTGCTGGGCTCTCCGAGAGGGGTGAGGAATCAAACCTGGGTTGGCCATGTCGCTCATGTGGAAGGCAAATGCCTTACCCACTGTGCTATAGCTCCAGCCCAAATGTGCACATAATATATATGATAAAAGTGTGCAGATGTGTAGAATTTTTCAGGTACCTCTATACTATAATACTATCTAATATATCCGAAGGCTTTAATAAAATGTAATAATACATAATTATATAGAGTATGGAATGATATGATTAGTCATTTGTACTTAAGACTATTTGGTACTGTAATAAAAATTTGATAGCAAATAATAGAAGATACTGGATGATTCTGACTTTCTTTTTTCTCAGGTCTTGGCATTTATCTAATAATTAAAATTTTCCCTTTTCCTTCTTTGCTTCTTGTGTCTTTCCCTCCTTCCTCTTTCTCTTTTTTATTCCTCTGTTTCCCCCTTCTTTTTATTCTGTATTTATTAATTTATTTTTAAAAAGAACATCGGGACTGTAGAGATAGTATAATGGCTATGGTGCTTGCCTTAATGTTATGGTTATGGTTATGGTTCCACTCCCGCTTTCCATGTAGTTCCCTGAGCACTGCCAGGAGTGATTTCTGAGTGCAGAGCCAGGAGTAACCCCTGTATATTGCTGGGTGTGATCAAAACAAAAGAGAGTTGGAATAAAAAAGCAAGCGGAAAAAAAAACCCGTCTACCCATTTTTTTTACTAGTGTTGCATTTATTCTCTTTAAAGATTGTTTAAAATATATAGATGAGTTCATATTCATTTTAATTTTTTTATTTTAAAAAGAAAGACTACCTGAGAACTTTGAAAGGCCATCATGATACATTTTGTTCCAAAAGACTAATTCAGGTGGCTATTGCCATTACTATAAATACCCTCTTACAGTTCCAAAAACCATCTGTATGTGGAACAGAGTCCTAAGAACACCTACTGTGTTTTTTTCCCATCAAGCAAGGTGAAATGTATTAGTACTTCCAAATGACTCCTTTTACAATCTTAATAAAGCATGCTAAAAAAGAGGTACATCAAAAAACAACTTAAAATTTCTTTTCATTTCTATTCTCAATAAGTTTATAAGTAATGGCATCATATTTGTCTACTCCAGCAAATGTCCTAGAACTTTTTTTAAGGATAGTGCCAGTCTTCTCTCTACAGAGTCTCTGTGCATCATCTGTGAATGGAAGTAAGGACTTAAGCATTAAAAGTCTCTTATGACACTATGATGGAGCCCTTAATCAAATATGATAAAGATGAAACCAGTAATCTGCTTGAATGTCCATGCTCTCCCTGTATAAACACATGTATTACACCCTGAATCAGGAACCAAAGCAACAGTGTCTGTAATAGTAAATGTTGGGACTCAGACCTCTCTTACTTCCAAGTAACAATACTTTTTTTCACTCCAAGCTCACTCACCATCTCTACATCTGACACGGGACCAAAACTGGTCACATAAATATCTGTTTTGATTTCAGTGACAGCACCTGAAATTGCAATGAGAGCAGTAATCAACATTGATGTTAGAAGAACAAACAGCTCTGGCTGATTCAATGACAAAGTCCTTGCAATGTTCTTAAGTTTTTCAGTTCTGAAACTCATGTCAGTTGCCTTATTTGGAGTTTTCCTCATTAACTTAAGGTAATTTAAGAAAAAAAATTTGTTACTATTCTAATGAAAAAATACATATTTGTAGTTTCCGTGTCAGAAATTCTAACAAAAGTTTTTTTCATGAAGTATCTTGGTACATAATCTGTCAACTCTCTGAGGTAGGAATTCACATACTCATAACAGTTGATGAAAATAACTTAGAGAGCTCAAATAATTTGTACATATGATCACTAATGAGGAATATGTAGAGACTAGAAGGTAGCACATTCGGTCTTTTTTCAGTGCCTCTGGGTCTTATAATCATAGTTAAGACAGAAGGTGCTGAGCAGAAGGATAGTGGTCTAGTAAAGATTTCTCTTACCACCAAATCCTGGCCGTAACCGATTGTCATAACCTTCAAGCAAGTTGTCCAGTATCCGACTAACGTTTTGTGAGTAGAAGTTCCCTTCATCTTCATGTTCTCCTAGTGCATTTTCTCCCCTGTTGGTAGATAAGTCAGTGGTCCTCACTCCTAATCCCAGAAAGTATGTTTATTCAACCCTCAGCCCTGCCACATATGCATGCCACTCCACCCATGAGTTTTTACCACGTTTGGATGTAGAAACCACTCAGTTGCTATGTATGTTCACTTTCCTCACATCTGAAAAGAGAAATAAATAAGCTTACTTACCCCACAATAATGTATAGCCAGAGCAGAGGTAACACCATTCCACAGTGTACTGAATGTCCAGTTGACCCTCTTTCTGGTTGCCTCCCCCTTCCCAATCAAGCTCCCCTTTGCCAACTGATTAGAGAAATCCTCTGAAAGCCCTCATGTCCTTTTTCCAAGTTTGCCTCCTGCCAATAATCCAAAAGGTGAAGAGGTTTTCCGGCCAGACTTTGAGGGGAACTCTTGCTTTTCTTAGTCTTATTTATGTCTTTCCGTGTGGAACAAGGTTGTTTGTGGTCTTCCACTATGCCCTGATGGACACTCTGACTGCTCTGATGGACTCAGGTGGGAAATGAGAATCTGGAAGGATGGTTCATGGTTGGAGAGCTATGACAATAATCGAAAAAGGCATTAGGGGTGATTAGGAGGAAGAAATCCACTGCTAGTTTTGGCATGGAGTTGGAAGGGCCCTGGGAGGAAATCTGGAAAGCATTGGCATCTTGCTGCTTGAGATTATGTTCCAATGGGCTCAGCATTTATTGTTTTTATGGTTCACAGAAGGATTCCTACACAAGTCTCGCTGCTTCAAAAGTAATAATGTTGGCATCCTGTTAAATTTTTTTTTGTTGTGTCATCAGCTTTATTGTTTTAGTATACTTTTCCTCCATACTTTTTAGTATCCCTCGCTATTCATTGAAAAGCACTTAAATTTATATCAGAAAAATCTGTGTCGTTTTGCTGAGTTATGTGTGTGCTGATTTCTCCCTGTCCAAGTTGTGTCCTTCTAAGCTAAATATGTCTTACTATTATCTTTAGAAATGTGCCAGTTTAAGGAATGCTTCTCTACAAGTGACCATGACGACTAAAATATTGAGGCTCCCTGTGTAGAAATTCGATTGGTTAATAATTAGATTGCTGTCTTTATTAGGTTTGTACATCTCAAAAGTGAAAGGATTGGCTCAAAACATTCTATTTATATGTGTTTTTGTTTGTTTAGGAGCCACACCTGGTGGTGCTCAAAGGCTATTTCAGACTTTGTTTAGGAGTGAGCCCTGGCAGCCGTCATATGAGTCGCTGGGGATTGAACAAGGTTGTCCACGTACAAGGCAAGGGCTGTATCTCCAGTACAATCTCTCTTCATAAGGTTTTCTGCTTATTCTGGTAGAAAGAAGTTTTCAGTAAGACTCTTTGTCTTAAAACTCTAGTCTTTTACTCACTTCCCTTTACTTTCTTGTTGAGTTGACGGTAAGTGCACATGCATATACTTTGCCGTGTATCTGAGAGTGTACTTTGTTGTGGCACCAATGATATCAATGACAGTGCTGCCAGGTTCACATTTGGTATATGGGATGGTGCCATGTAACTTGGCCCTTTGCCTGCAAGACAGGAACTCTACCACTGAGCTATTTGAGAGCCAAGAAATTTTAGTTTTTAAGTAGAAGCAATGATAATAATAAAAGCATTGTGGATAATATGCAAATATGTTTGTATAATAATGAATTTCTATTTTTACAGATTTATATGTAACATAAAATGTTCAGGTAAATTCAGAAACATAAGGAAATGTCTCATCTATCACATTGCCAGATCTACCATCCACCCAGTTCATAATCTATAACATCACAATTTACTCTTTCGTTGTTGCTTTGGGGATCAGACCTGGCAGTTCTCAGTATCTACACCTGGCTGGTGGTCAGGGTTTGCTTGCTATCAGTGGTGTTTGGAACCCATGTAGTATAGGGATTGAACTTGGGACCTCTGCAAGCAAAGCATGCTTTCTATACTTTGGTGCCATTTCCATTGCTGTTATCATAGTTTTGAGAATCATTTCTGAAGACATGGTATGAATGATCTAAAGAACAGTTTAAGGAAGAATGAAGAAGATACAAATGAAAAGAGTTCATGATAATTTATGACTATCATTTTAAATATAACTGAATCTCTGAACAATTTTGTGAAAATTTCTCCCCCCACGCAAATTTGTTTTACTTGAGGTAACATAATTTACTCGAATATTGGTATTTTTCTTGTTATTTTGTTCTTTGTGCATATTTTGTATCACTGTAGCTTTGTAGTATAGTTTTAAATCTGGAAATAGAGTGCCCATTCTCTTCCTTTTCCAGAACTGATTTGACTGTTCTGGGAGTATTTGGGTTCCATATAAACTTGTATCCAGTATCATGTACTACTCTTGGTACATCAGTGATGTATGATATGTCTGTCATGTGGCCGCCTTCATGGCATGTGCTCCAGGAATTCTAAAATTTTAAATAGGGTGATATAGCTGGACTTAAATTTTTAACTGGATGGTGACTTTGCGGTCCAGAGGCATCACCACAGCTTCTTGATCTCTTCCGATATTTATTTGTGAGTTTCTGGCTTATGGCCTTTAATGAGCTTATATGGCAACAGAGGCAGTTCATGAGCGTGATTGCCAGGCTCCTGGAAGAACAGTGAGATACGGGAAGGTTGCGCATTCCCAACTCCATGAGAGGTTGGAGGTTTCGGTCACAAAACCTGAACACCTGACTCTTTCAACAGATTCATTCATGGATGAGACTTATCTTGTGTCTGGGGAGATGGCCATGAGCATGGTGGCAACTGGGTCCTGGAGGTTTTCAGCTGGCAGGACTAATTTTGGGTGGGTGGTTGTAGGATACCATTGCTTTGTCCTTCCTCCCTTGCCACAAGGAACTCAGGTTTATTACAGTGCTCCTGAGGCACTTCCATTCCATTGTGTTTGTCTGTAATCTGTTCCCTATGCTCTCCTTCCTAACCAGTTAATCAGCTTTTCCCCCTGATCAGACTCAGTTAACTTGTAAGGTCAGATTCCTCAGAAATATGTGATTTTATATGTGTGAGTGAAATATTGTCTTTCTCCACTGCTTCTGTCTTTTGAATAGTTTACTTTAAAGCAATGTCCTTTTTCTATAGATTCAGGAAGACAGTTAATATTATGCTTTTGTAACTTGGGATTTAATTGGCTTTGAATATTGTTCACTCCTGGACATCTGCTTTCTTAACTTAAGCCTCAGATGCCCTTAGTTCCTAGCACCACAAAAGCAGGGTCCCGAAGAGGAACTGAATGGACCCAGGGCAAGCTGTGAGCTACCCTGGCATCGAAATGGGGCAGGCCAAAGTGCCACGATACTCAACTGTAAGTTGAGAGCTTTTTCATGGATGAATGCTGTTATGATCCAAAAAGTAACGATGAGACTAGGATCCTGCTAGGGATAGGAAAGACTAATCTCGCCTGAGTACTGTAGTCTGAAATCAAGATGGCCTAGGAGAGCATTTCTACAAGCTTAACGTATTTCTTACTGTGTCCATACAAAATGATTAATATTATGTATGCTTATATGTTTGTTGGACAAGGAGAGGGGATTCCGTTCTAGGGTGAGCTGACCTGCTAAATGAGAATCTGTCCTAGAAGCGGCATTCCCCAAAGGAAAGAAATTTACCCCTATTGATTGTGACTCCTCCTATGTGTAAGCCCCAACCCCTCATGCGTGGGGATTTAACTGTAAAAGTGGATTGGTGGATCCAGACTCCAGAAGGAGAAGGAGAAAGGGGATCCAGATTCCAGAGCCAGAAGGAGAATGAAGGGGGATCGAGGAGGAGAATGAAGTAGCATGGTGGAGGAAGAAGCAGGAGGAGAATCAGAGGATAATGGAGATGGGATGAAATAAACTGCAACTGACACCAACCAGCCTGGCCTTCGTTTCCTTCCTTCGCCTGCCTGTTGCCATCGACCTCCCCGGGGTGGGGGAAGTGGCCCGAGACTACTGAATGCGGGCAGTGGGAAAGATAGACTGCTGCTGTCTTTTTGAGTTTACACAGGTGGTGGGCTCATCTGCCCCACTCTGGGTTTCCCTGGATAAGACTCAATCTGTGGAATATTTTCATGATAAAAATACTGTGATGTGAGAGTATAAGTGATATATGATTTCTATTTTCTTGATTAAATATTGATTTATTTTGTGACCCAGCATGTGGAATATTCTAGAGAATGACCCATAAGCAGTAGAAAAAAGTGGGTCCAGATAGATTTTGGGGGATAGCATGCCCTATAAATGTTTGTTAAGCCCATCTTTTCTATTTCTTCCTGTAATGCCTGTTTCCTTATTGATTCTTTGTCTGGTTGATCTAGCCACTGGTGAGAGGATGGCATTAAAATCTCTTACTCCTATTGAGTCGCTGTCAATATTTTCCTTCAGGCCTTAGGTTAGTATCTTGATGTTCCCTGTTTTGGTGCATATGTTGATGAATGCTAAGTATTCTTGATGATCGGTCCTTTGATTATTGTATAATGACTATCTCTGTCCTTTATTGCCTCTTTAGATTGAAGTCTATTTTGTCTGATGTGAGTTTGGCTATCCTGCCTTTTATAGTCTATTTGTATGATTGTTTTCCAGTCTTTTACTTCGAGCCAGTGATTGCACTAACTGAGTGTGTCTCTTGTAAGCAGCAAAATTTCCAGTTTAAATTTCTAATCTGTTCAACTGCTCTGTGCTTTTTGATTTGTGAATTCAGGTCAGTTAAAAGAAATGAAATTATTGAAATATATCTTATGCCATCTTTTTATATGGGTTCTTGTTGTTAATATAACCTTTGTTTCTTTGACTTTTTGCCTTCTGAGTGAGTCTGTGCAACACTAGTTTAGTGCTCATGAACTTTTGTGAGTGTTGTCAATGTAATAATGTAGTTTTGTGTCACTCCATTGAACTTTAATGATAACATGTTGGATAAAGTATTCTTATTTGAATGCCTATTTTATTTAGTATGTTTACTGCATTTTAGCATTCCCTTCTAGCCATTGAGGTTTCATTTGAAAAATCTGCTATGAATTGCAAAGGCCTTCCTTAGTAGGTAAAATTTTAATATGTTCTTATTGCTCTTAGAATTAATTCTATTTTGTGGATAGGAGTACACCAGGCCGTGTTCAGGGACCACTATGGCTCTCTACTCAGGGGTCACTCCTGGGGATACTTGGAGTAATGATACGTGGTGCCAAGAATTGAAATATACTTGGATACATACCCTCATATACACGGCAAAC